TCCTGTCTCCGCAGCCGGGGGCATCCGAGGGGCTGGCGGGCCCTGCCGGGTCACACAACCGAAACCCAGATTAGAGAGCTCTTCCCAACGCTTTGGAATGGTTTGAGTGATACAAGACTAATTTCTCTTCTAATGCTTGGGAAAATGGCACTTTTAGGAGACTCCAGGGTCTGAATTGGTGAAAATATTGACTTTATATCCACCTAAGGGGTGCGGGTTCCAAGGTCTCAGCGCTTTTGAGCTCACCAGGTGCGGGGATGAGGAGAAGCGAGACCCGGGCACTGCACCCACGCTGCCAACGGGGTCATTGCATACCACGAACGGCACATTCCATAGAAATAGATGTTTGCTGAGGAGTTCTCTCCCTCCTGTGACAGCTGCCACCCTGAGAACTCCTCGCCCCGGTGCCGCAGCCCTGAGCCCGTCCCTTCTCCCAAAGCCGCAGCGCTCACAGGGTCCCACATGGGCTGTCACTGCGGGGAGCGCACGGCTCCTACGGACAGAATGGGCTGAGGGTAATCCTGGTGTATTTTATATTGGTATGGGGATCAATACTGGTTCTTCAGTGTTACTAATGTTAATTATCTAGTCGTACTCTATGAAATCTGTTTATATTTCAACCGACAGGTTTTCTTGTTTTTTCCCAATTCCCCTTCCCGGGTGGGGAGAGGTCATCAGGTGAGAGAATAATTGCCTATACAACAATAAATTGTTGTGAGTTCCTCAAACCATAACATACTTCCACCTTTTTCTGCATTTCAGGCTGAATTTGAAATCATTTTCGTACCATTTGCAGGTAAATTTAGAGCAAAACTGTATACGCTGATTATTCTCGTCTGCTTTTCAGCCTCAGCACATAGCAGACACCTGAAATTCGGAACGGAGGAAAATAACCCTGTGGTGACAAATCCCCCTCCTCTTCGCCTGTGTGTGGAAAATGCCTGCGTAAACCCCCCGGGCAAAGCTTTGCTCTGAACCCGCTACTTATCCAGGACAGCAAGTCACAAAGTTTCAGGTAACCAGCGAATCTCAGGCAGTACCATAAGAGTCCGTTTGCTTTTTATAATAATTTGTATTACAAAATTCAGGATAGTCAAGCCGAGACAAAGGGGAAAATGGAATTATTTCCTCTTCATACAACATTTCTTCCTCTACCTCCAGTTTCATGTTATCTGTGTAGCCCACGACAGTTGTGGCTCTCTCTGGAGGAGGCTGTCCCGTCTGTCAGGAAGCACACAGCTCTTTGGTGCTATTGCTCCTTTCGCAGACACGGATCCTCACCCTAATGTCCCCACAAAGGGCTGCTGGAGCCCTTCACCGAGTACACAAAGGAACTCTGCAGGTGCCAGTCCCGCGGAGCAGTCTGAGCAACCTGAGGAAATTGCTCGTGGGTTTCTTAATAAAGAGATATAAAAAGTTTCTGAAGTGCTTCAGGGCAGCACCAGCTGAAAAGAGAATTAATACTTCCACTCAAACGGAAGCTGTTGAGGCTACAATGTCTTAAAATTCCTTACCTACTTTTTTCCTGTAAAGTTTAATTTCCTTAAATGTTGTTTGTCACTTTGAAAAACATACTGCTCTCTAGCATCTCTCAGGCCAGTCATTCTGAATGGCCGGGAGAAGCAGAAGTTAATTTCTCCAGAGCTGGCAAATTCCATTCACCATCCTCCAGGACCTCATTTATTTTTGTTTTGCCTTGTGGAAGAAAGGAAAAAGGCAACTGGAGAGCATTCCTCCATACTCGGGTGCTTTCAGTATTCTATTAGGTACTCTTTATAAGTTTAAATATTACCGTTAGACTTACAGGTAGAATAAATGCAGATGCACACTCACAATATATCATTTTCATTTACTGCCTACCTTTGGGTTTCGCACAAATTTAGTCTTTTATGGCTTTCTCTTTTTTGACCTATTCATTTATATACTAAAAAAGTCAGCATCCTTCCTGGAGGAATACACCCATGAGAAATTACTCCTCCATTAGTTATTTCCTAGTTGAGGAATTCCGTAAGTGGAGTTTCCATAGACTCACAGCCCAGAAACTGTAGAAAATGCTGTTCCACATTGCCACAATATCTGATCCTGCTACTTTTATCTAAATTGCCTAGTACTTGGAGAAAGAGCAATTTGCGTAATTTAAGTCAAAGTTCTGTTGTTAGATGGTAAAAAAAAAGAACAACAAACATTCTCAAGAATTTGCGGGTGTATAATAATTACACAGCACAGTCCTGGCACAGGAGGACTTCTGGATTCACTACAAACGCCACTTTTCGCAGAGCAGTTCCCATTAGTAATGCGTTCATTATGGTTTGGGGTTGAATAAGGGACTCCATAATAAGCTGGTAAACAGTGACTTCATGCCTCTGTCTCCTCTTAGCTGGCCTCCAGTAATTAAAAATGCAACGTGAAGCTTCCAACATCAGCTAAAACCTGAGCTAGTGCCTCTCCTCCGCAAGACTAGCTGTGCACATGTTCCCAGCATGGCACCAGGGCGAACAGCCTCTTGTGTGGCACTGGAGAAGGGACAAGAGACATCAGAGTTGCTAACGGTGTCAGCCTCTCCAGTTCTGGTTGCAAAGGGGTTTTGATTTTCCCTAAAAACAAGAAGAGCCAGAAAAATCTTGGCGGAAAGACCAATGGAGTATAGAGCAAAGGTGACTTTTTTTTTTTTCCCCCTAGAATTATTTAAAATTCCGTATTTGAATTGTAAGCAGCTGTGCAGGAAGCAGCTGTGCTGTCACTCTGAAGACAGCAGGCACCGAAATCGTATTTCATAGTTCCCATCTCTGCCTAGAATTCTTCTTAGCCACTTAGTATGAGAGGAGATGATGCAAACTGGGTAAATAAAGAGGTCACCCAGAAAGGCAGTTCTTCTATCACAGCAGATCTAATCTTCCTGACTATCTGTAAGTTGTTTCCCCTGGAAGTGTTAGTTAAAAAAAAAAATCCAGTTTACCTGGAATTTGACACATCATCATTTTTCAAATGATTCATTTCACTGTTGTAAGTAGATCCTCGCAGGACTAGCGCTAAAGAAGGAGCTCCTGCAGGGAAACCTGGAAGTGCTGAACCTAACACAGTTACTTTGTAAGACGATAATGCATCTACAGGGACTGACATAAGGCCAGGAGGGCTGTCTCGTCTTTCCCTCTTCCTGCACGTGCTTTTGAGGAAGACAACTTGTACAGGTCCCGTCATTCTCCGGATAACTTCTTGTTTCACAGTCGGGTACCACACCAAGTCTTTTCCTTCTATTTCCCTGTCCCCCGGTGAATGGAACAGCCACGCACAAGAGGGAAACGGATGAACAGTGAAGGGACTGAGCGATGTTTGTTCAGACCCGCACTAGCAGCCTGTTTCCTTTCCTTGGCTGGCCAGGGGATGCATGGAAGGAGCGCCGGAGGAGACGCAGGAATACTGATTTGAGATCACCTTGAGAAATCCCTTCACCTTTCATGACCCGGGAAGTAACCCAGAGCTTCTGTTCTCTCAGCAAATGAGAGGAACTGGCTCATCATATTTATTTCATTGTTGTGTGGTTTGTTTACACCTCTGGCACGCGGCAACGCACAGCCCATACGCTGTCATCTGCGCAGTTGCGTAACGAAACCTTCAACCAAGACGCTCCGGGATCCACCTTGCCACTTTACAAACGAATGCGAGAGCAATCTGTAGGAGTCATCACAGCGCAGTTTCGCAACAGACTGAGACTCTGGGTCCTTCCCTCATGCTACGCAGCACCGGGGACGGTGCTTCTCTTCCTGGGCAGGCTGAGATACGCCTGGGTGGCCGGCAGCGTGTCCCAACAGCCAGAGCCTGTGCTGCAGCAGCAGTACGGGTCCGAGGGCATGGGACACGAGGTCTGCAGGAGGGCACAGACCTCCGTGAAGTGCTGTCACCTCAAGCGGAGGATGGCGAGCTGCCTGGCCCGCAAGGTCTGTCCCTGTACCCCTGAGACACCAGCAGGCCCACACTGCCAGGGCAAGAAGCAGCCGTTTCCCGAGAAATGCCAGATACATTCTTAGTGCAGACACATTACCATGTGCATAAATCCCTGTGAAGGTGTTACGGTTTGAAGAACCCACAACAATTTATTGTCGTTTAGACAATCATTCTCTCACCTGCTGAGCCCTCTCCACCCAGGAAGGGGAATTGGGAAAAAAACAAGGACACCCGAGGGTTGAAATATAAACAGATTTCATAGAATACGACTAGATAATTAACATTAATAACACTAAAGAACTGGTATTGATCCCCATACCAACATGAAATACACCAGGATTACCCTCAGCCCATTCTGTCCGTAGGAGCCGTGCGCTCCCCGCAGTGACAGCCCATGTGGGACCCTGCGAGCGCTGCGGCTTTGGGAGAAGGGACGGGCTCAGGGCTGCGGCACCGGGGCGAGGAGTTCTCAGGGTGGCAGCTGTCACAGGAGGGAGAGAACTCCTCAGCAAACATCTATTTCTATGGAATGTGCCGTTCGTGGTATGCAATGACCCCGTTGGCAGCGTGGGTGCAGTGCCCGGGTCTCGCTTCTCCTCATCCCCGCACCTGGTGAGCTCAAAAGCGCTGAGACCTTGGAACCCGCACCCCTTAGGTGGATATAAAGTCAATATTTTCACCAATTCAGACCCTGGAGTCTCCTAAAAGTGCCATTTTCCCAAGCATTAGAAGAGAAATTAGTCTTGTGTCACTCAAACCATTCCAAAGCGTTGGGAAGAGCTCTCTAATCTGGGTTTCGGTTGTGTGACCCGGCAGGGCCCGCCAGCCCCTCGGATGCCCCCGGCTGCGGAGACAGGA